GAGAGAGAGAGAGAGAGAGAGAGAGAGAGAGGGAAAATAGAGGAAAGAAAGAAAAAAGAAAATATATAAAGGATCGGCTTCTGGCCTTCTTTACAGCAGTGACAAATAAATTTATCGTCTGTCCTCCCTCTATAATGTGACCACATTATAACTCTTTTCTTCCCATACTTTTCTCTTCCTAATCATCAAATCCATAAATCACCATTCTTTTCAGTTTCCAGCAAAAAGTCCGTAAAGGATTTCCAGTCACTAATAAATGCTGTCTTCTCCCTAATCAAACAAGTCAATTTTGTCATTTCTGCAAGTTCTGTCGCCTTCACCAACCCTTCCTCCGTCATGGATGTTTCAGAATCTTCCCATCTTTGTGCATACAATAATCTCGCTGCAGCTGCCATGTACGAAAATAATCTCCCCCAACTCTTTTCCAGTTGACTTTTCATAACTCCCAACAAGAAAAGTTCTGGCTTCAGCTGTATCGTCTTTGAAATTCCTTGAATCACTGTAGGTATTTGTACCCAGAATTTTCTAGCTTTTTTACAAGTCCACCACGCAGGCCTGGGTGGAAAGGCAAAACTGGAAGCCGTTGGCCTGAAAGGAACAAAAAGCTAAACGTGAAGAAAGCTAAAAAGACGGAGCTTTAAAAACACCCTACTAATGATGGAAATCCCAGCTGAGAGCGAAAATTCAAGAGCTGGTCTGTTCAGAGGAAAGCGTGAGAAAAAGAAAAGAAGAAGCTTTTCTGAAATTGGTGGCTTGGATCAAGCAGACATTTCAAACACGGTTATAGTCGACGCAGGACGGAAGAAGAGGAGGAAGAAGAGCAAAGAAAGGTTTTCTTTTGGGTTTTGGAGCCCCCCTTCAACGGATGGCCTTTTATGGCCGAAATGGAGACTCACCTCTTGAAAAGCCAAGGAGGAACTTTCAGTACAGCTGCTTGTAGATGCAGGCTGGAGAGGAAACGAAACCTGTTTTCTCATCTCTTTGCACAAGAATTGTGACGGTGGTTTTTCGGAGGAAACCCATTTCCTCCTCCGATAGGCATTAGCTGATCTAGCTGAACTGCAGCAACCTCTTCTTTTCAGAAACCGGATCCGCAGAGTGGATCACGCTACTCCCTTTTTTCTTCCTCGGGCAAAGGGTTCTCGGCCGTGGATCGGGGCAGGAGGGATGGAGAGGGGAGGATGCTAAACAGGGACGTTCAGAGCGGAAAACGGGATGAAGGATGCCAGATCAGGTCCTACGTCCCAGCCCGGCCTCCCTTGTGGGGTTGTTGTCGCAATTATGATTACGATTTGCCTTCTAGCCTGCATTTCTGCCCAGGGGGTTAAAAAATATAGCCTTCAGGTTGCAGAGGGAGGGTTTCGTGTATAGCCTTGAGCTGCTAAAGGGATAGGGAGGAGGAGGAGGAGGAGGAGGAGAAGTTGTTTAATTCTTGCTAACCCCTCGTTGACTGGTGTACATAACAAGTTTGCTATCGAGTCATTTCAATTCCAAATGTCGTTTGTTTCTTCCCCCACCTTAAACGGACCTTTTTGACTGTTATGTTGGGGAGGATTTAGGTGTGCGTTTCCCCCTTCTTCCAGAGGACTCCAAAGAGGTGAATAATCTTGGGGGGGGAGCTGTCAGGAATCCAGGCCAAGAGGCTGGATATGGCCCCCAGTTGTGGACGACTGCTTTGGGACTGCTGGGACTGGTGCAAACTAGTTGTCCTTCATATTACCGTAGGCTAAAAATATTTGCTTCAATGGCAAAGGGGTGGCCTGTTTACATTCCAGCCCTGGCCTTTGCGGACAAAATGAACCGCAGCAGAAATGCGTGCTTTCACGCGCTGCAGTCTCGGGACACGGCGGAAGGGCCTGGCGGTGACCCCTTCATCGAAGCGAAGCGGGGTTGGGTGGGTGGATGGATTTCTGGAGGGGCACCCAGCAGGGAGGCTGTTTCGAGTCCCAGCGTTTCAGTCGTTGAACCGTCTCGCTTTTCGAGGGACCGCCGTTCCCAGGATGGGTCACCGGGAGACGACCCTGCCCCAAGCAGAGCCAGTGCAACTCATCAATTTTTCTGAAAACGAGGCTGCCCCCAAACGGGAGGAATTCCTGCAGATTGGAGGGGACATTCCAGCGGGCACCCCGGGGATCAAATCCGCCTTCGGGCTGTCCAGCTCCTGACCCTCTGACAAGATGCCTTAAAAATCTGGCTTGATTTTTGGCAACCCTTGGGAGAGCAGACTGGCTGCTTCGCCTTGAGAGCGTTGGACCCTTCTGGGTCCCATCGGCGGGCATGTGGGAGAGCTTTGCCCAGGACAGCTGGAGCAAATGCTCCTGGGCCACCCTCTTCCAGCGAGGCAGGACTGTCCTGGGTCATTGTGGCTCTTCAGGCTAGATGCCCTCTTACGCCCCGTGGTTGGCTCCCACACAGCTGTGGGCTGCTGGCAAAAAACTTCCCCTTCTCGCTTTCTTTTTCTCACCCGGCTTTTGCGTCAGAGAGGCAGCCCGGCTGGTAATGCGAGAGCCAGCCACTGGGTGGTTCTCTGGTTGTGTAAATATCCCCCAGAAAAAGCTGCTCCTTTGGGGCTCTGCATGGCTGCGTCAAGGGGTGGGTCATCCAGGTCAAAGTGGGGCCGAACGTTCATTTTTTGCAGCGTCTTTGCCGCCGTAATTCCAGGCTGCCAACTGTGAGGTTGGTACTGCAGAGTGACTGTAATGTGGTTTCCCTTCCTGGCTGTTAAGCCACCGTGCAGTCTTCGTGCATCCAGAAGCAGGGGGCAAAAGCACGTCCACGTGGATGGCTTCCACTCGGGGTTGACCCCTTGTGTGGCTCCTTCTAGAAGCAGCAGGCGGGTTCCTTGTGGATCCTTGTGGAATGCATCGTTTTCATTCTCCAAATTCCTCTCCCCGCAGCCCTCCAGTCATCTGCGGCTGGTGGTACAACACCCTTGCAGAGCAAAGCCTTTTTTCCCCTACATTCCTTGTTGTAGGAATGCCTTTTTTGCACACGCGTGAGACAAGGTGCCGTGTTGAGGAGCATGCAAGCCACTCTTCTGGTTCACGTATTTTGGGGGATCTTGGGCAGCCCCCTTCTGGTTCTCAGCTGGATATTGTGGAGATATTTTGAAATATCCTGGGTATTTCAGGTGCCCTTGAAAAGGATGTCCCCATTTTCTAAGGAAGGGGATTCTGCATCACCTTCGGTGGGTCCTCCAGGTTGTCCACTGTGCTCCAGTGTTCTCCACCACGTCTTCTCGGTGATGGTCCTGAAGCTGAAGAGTGGCATTCAAGGTGTACTCAGTTCCTTGGAGGAAGGGTGGTGTGGTCCTCTTTGCAGCAGGATAGAAGTTATTTTTTGGACTTCCCAGCCTTGGAGTTTTCTTCTTCGTGTCCCATCTGAGCAGCTCTGACCCAGCTTGGCTTTCCCCAGCAGTCAAGTTGGCTACAGGCTACCATCTACCAAGCCATGAAATTACCAGAATATTTACCGGATTAGCCATCATGGTTTCATGGAATCCACAGCATCCTTCTGTGTATGGTTCAGTGAACCCCCGGAAAAGGAGGTACAGTTGTCTGCAAATAAAACCTCAGCTTTTGATCTTCTCACCTGCAAAGCAAAAAGCCCCAGGTTCACCCGAATGTTTGCAAGAACAAAACTGGATTTGCCCTTCATTTTGGTAGACATTGCAGCATTTGGGCTGTAGACCCCTTCGCCGAACCCCATCGGCAGTCCTTGAAAACAGAAGAGGCTTTTTCTGGGTTTCCAGCTGCAGGAAAACAGTCCTTTGATTTTCAGAGGCTGCGTTGAGATGCAGCTGTTGGTCTGGACAGGCTTTGAATTGGATTTGGGCCCCTCGGTTTCTACCCATTAAGGCAGGTCCTGTCCTTCCAGGCCAAAATGACTTTCCCGGTTCTGTGTGGTCCCCTCTTCCAATTCCTGACCTCGATTAATACATCTTTCTAAGTGCGCAAGGGAGGCAGGGTATAAACCCCCATCCACCCCTTTTCCTTGAGCAACCTGAAATAGCTTGAGTGGCACAGAGGCAGGCAAGTGTCTGAAAAACCCATTCTAATTTCTTAGCAAGGTTAGTAATCCTGGTGTAGTGAATCCTGCCGTGTGCAGGGGGTTGGGCTGGATGACTTTTTAGGTCCCCTCCAACTCAATGATTCTACGAACTGCTTTTCCCTGGGGCCTCCCTGGTGAAATGCAACCCGGCATGTGGCCTGTGGTCTAGGAGAAGGCGACTCCTTGTTTTCCCATTGAATGACATTGCTGGCATCCGATGGTTACTCTCTGTTCCTTCTGTCTTCAAACGAGCCAGGCTGTTGGACACAAGTGTATGATTTTTGGTGTTTCTCAACCTTGGCCACTCTAATAC